AATTCCAACTCCTAGCAACCCTATAAGACAAAGTAGAATTGTTTCATAGGGTTTCCAAGGCTGTAAATCTTTATGGAAGCAGACTGCCACATCTTTCTCCCATAATCACGATATAATAAAACTACAAATTAATAACAATTAAAAAGTCCTTCTGCCAAAGAAAACCCTTAAAGTTCTCTATTAAATAAATACTGAGTGAAAATGGGAAATGCAAACAAAATTGTAGACAATAGTTTACATAATAATTTCCTTAAAACAGTGATCACAGAAAATTTCATAGTCTTAAGTAATTATAGCAATAAAAAAATAAGTAAATTCTCAAATCAAAAAGCTAATTATAGAACAACATAGTCAGGAAAAAGCAAAAGAATGGAAATATTTAAGATAAAATCAAACTAGACAGAAAATTAGTAAGAAGAGACTCAACACTATGAATGAATTCAAACTAACACATATACACAATACTCCAACTAAGGACATACATATAATTTTTGTCTGAACATGGAACATTGTCCAGCATAGATCATATGCTAGGCCACAAATCAAGTCTTAAAAAATTTAAAATATAGTATTTTCACTGAAACAATGAAATTAAATTAGAAATCAACAACAGAAAGAAATGTAGGAAATTCCCAGATAATTGGAATTTAAAACAACAGAGGAAATCAATGAAACCATTGAAAAGATGAACAAAATAGACAAAACATTAGCTATACCAACCAAGATAAACAGAGAAGCAAATTACTATATCAGGAATGAAAAAGTGGATATCACTATGTAATTACAAAAATTAAGAGAATTATAAAAGAATTCATATATACATATCATATTTAAAATAATCTTAAGAGACTATTATTAATAACTTTAAACCAACAACTACACAACCTAAAAGAACAGGCTTGAAAAAGAAGAGCAATGAAAAGTACTAGCACAATCAGATATTAAAGCATACTACAGAAAATATACAAATAGCATTTTTACCCTCACTCATAATAAAATGCAAATTAAAACTACACTGAGGTACCATTTGTCACACATCAGTTAGTGAAAGTAAAAATCATGCCATTACACTCTGTTGGTGAGGCTTTTGGAAACAGACACTCTTATACATTGCTAGTGAGGATGCAAAATGTGATGGTTAAGGTTGTGTGTCAGCTTGGCTGGGCCATGATTCTCAATGTTTTGGCAGTCGTGTTATGTTGTGGTCACTTCCTTGTTGAGATCTGATATGTGATCACCCCCATGATGGGATCTGCTACGAGTAGTCAATCAGTTGAAGGGGAGTTTCCTTGGGCATGTGGCCTTCATCAAGTGTGGGCAGATGTTCAGGCAGGGCTCAGGGGCTGTTTTGCTTCTTCTGGATCCTACAGCTGGCTCCTGTTCATCTGGCCT